GATGATGAGGGGGCGGACGATGAGCGATGAGCGAGGAAGAGCGAGGACGGATGTGAGGTGGAGGACCAACGAAGAGGGGGAGGAGCGAGGAGAAGGACGATGAGGAGGAGAAGGAGGAAGAGGCGGAGGATGCAAGAAGAGGATGAGGAGGAGCGATGAGGATGTGCGAGGAGTAGGAGGGGGAGCGAGGAGGAGGAGGAGGAGGAGGAGGAGGAGGAGGAGGGATCACGATGAGACGGAGGAGGGGAAGGAGCGAGATAGAGGAGGTGGGGGAAGCGGAGGAGGAGGAGAGGAGGAGGAGGAGGAGGAGGAGGAGGAGGAGGAGGAGGAGGAGCGAGAAGGAACGAGGATGAGGATGAGGATGCTGATGTGGTGGTGTGATGATGAGAGAAGAAGAAGAGGAGGATGAGGTGAAGATGCTGATGGTTGGTGGTGGTGATGATGATGAAGGCGGAGGAGGAGGAGCGAGGAGAGCGAGGAGGAGGAGGCGGAGGTGGAGGAGGAGCGAGGAGCGAGGAGCGAGGAGGAGGAGGAGAGGAGGAGGAGCGAGGAGGAGGAGGATGAGGAGGAGGAGGAGGAGGAACACTAACAAATAATATAGGAGCAGAGGAGGAGAAAAGGGGACGAGGAGCGATGAGGAAGGAGGAGGAGGAACGAGGAGGAGCGAGGAGGAGGAGAGGAGCGAGAAGCGAGGGGGAGGAGGAGCGAGGAAGAGGCAGGAGGAAGAGGGGCGAGGAGGAGGAGGAGGAGGAGGAGGAGGAGGAAGAGGGGGGAGGAGGAGGGGCGAGGAGTAGGAGGAGGAAGCAGATCAAGATGCTGATGCTGATGGTGCTGATTGATGATGATGATGAGAGGAGGAGAAGGAGGAGGAGGAGGAGGAGAAGGAGGAGGAGGAGGGGGAGAGAAGGATGGGGAGGAGGAGGAGGGCGACGAGGCCAAGGAGGAGGAGGAGGAAGAGGGGGAGGAGGAGGAGCAGGGGGAGGAGGAGGAGGAGGAGGAGGAACGAGGAGAGGAGGAGCGAGGAGGAGCGAGGAGGAGGAGGAGGAGGAGGGCGGAGGAGGAGGAGGCGGCGGAGGAGGAGAAGGAGCGAGGAGGAGGAGCGAGGAGGAAGAAGGGGAGGAGGAGGAGGAGGTGTAGGATGATGATGGTGATGATGATGCTGATGATTTTTCCAACGACATCAGAGCCAAGTAAGGGAATGCTTGCGCATATCGATTTGCAAAAACTTGGAGGCTCGTCGCAGAGGGCGGTGACTCCCGAGTGCTGCTCGCTGAGAATCCCATCAGGTTGCAATCACAGCGGGGCCTGGCGGCGTGCGGTGACAACTAGTCAAGGAAATCTGCTGCAACGAGATCCTCGGCCCCGTAATCGTCATCGAAAGGCCCGGGCTCGGCAATCTGCGCTGGCACGTCAGGGCCGGACTCCGAGCCTGGCTCTACGCTGGGAGAGGCTGCGCGGGCAGGGGCAGC